GGTTTTCCACTTCCATGTTAGTGAGTCGGAGGCCAGACGGTACCTATATTGATGCAAGAAGACCATCACATCAGCAAGGTCTACGTGCTATACTGGCAGCACACACTAATGCCAAACGCCCAGGAGCAGGAGACTGGGCGGTATGCACAGGTCCATGCATGGCGCTCGACGTCCTCACAGGAGGGCCCACCCACATGATCCCATTTTCTGGTAAGAAGTCCGACCCCTTCACCACAAAGCAGGCTTTCCGTGTGGAAGGTGCTCGTGGTGCGGTTCTTCAGATGCGAAGGCCTCGCCTCCGTGCTGAGCAGCTCCCCGCAGCCGCGCGCCGCCTGCAGGGCCCCGGCTGCGGCATTTGGGGACGACGGCCGTATCAGGGTGGCCGATGTGATGGCTGACCCCATCATCCAGAGTCTTAAGGTTTTAGGGGGGTACGGAAAGAAAAGGCCGGTTCCAGTCACTCGCGTGCGCCCACCTATTGCAGGCCTCTCAAAGGGGTCCATGGTCGACGGCGCCTTTCTTGGGGTCGATAGTGGAAAGCCAGCCACGGCCAGCCAGTGGGCAAGGCACGTAGCATTGACCATCTCGAAATGCGGAACACTGGCCACAAGGCCAATGAAGCACAACCATTTTCATGTGGCAGCCGAAGTGGCTCACGAATCTGCAGGCCAAAAGTACAAAACTGAAAACCTGCTGATGACTGGCCAGTACACACCTGCAGAACCCTGTGGTTTGTCGGCACATGACACCCCCTCAACCCCTACACACCAGGAGCTGACAAGGCACATGTGGGCACGGCTCTGGGCGGAATTGGCAAGCGGCAGCATGAGTCTTTTCTTCATTCTTGGACGGCTGGTGTGCACACCTCATCCCAGCTGCCAACTCGCCTCTCGCACAATATCCTACCAATGGACGTGCTCGCCAGTTCCACTGCACACACCACTGAGTGGCAAGACGGCTTACCGTCAACTGGATATACATATATATATACATATATGTGTGTGTAGACCAACATAAGTTTTACGTATGCCACGAGAAACGATCCTCGGCCACTTGAATATGTTTCAATGATCCAAACCCCCCGTTGCTTTGGCACAAGCACGAAAATCAAACCCAACCTGCAAATTGTATGCCTATGCCTATCAGTGCCCCAAGAGAAACAATCCTTTTAAATCTTTGACTGGCCCAAGAAGACGGTTTCAAAACTCCTATTCCTTGTGTTGGGACTTCTGTTTGGCCCACTGATTCGACATACCCACCGTCCCCTTCACCAAGCGTCCCTCTGGCCGCATAGCGGCACTTGACAGGCCGGAAGGCGCAGCCCTCGGCGTGCGGCCGCCACCGATACGCCGCCACGATCTCCTGTGGAGCCGACGGGGCGGACGGCGCTGCGCCGAAGCGTCGCAGCCGAGTGGTGTCCTTTTTGTGCCGGTCTCTGAGACATGGTGTTGGAATTGCAGTTTCTGGTTTGCTCGTTCCCTCCTTCTTAGGCCCAAAGAGAATGATGGCGAACGGTTCTTGCATGCTGGTGCAGTCAAATGCCCGGCTCCTGACAGCCACGATCTTGATAAAGGCAACAAACAGGACGATAATGACCTCGCAGTTTCTTGGGCAAAAACGGGACGAGTGAGCGCATGTCCCTGTCCGCACGGAGGTGAGGTGTCCCTGATTGGTGAGGGCTCCGCTCCTTGATTGGTGAGGGCTCACTCTCCCCAACTCTCCCCAAGGTCGATTAAATCTATATTACTAATAACTGTGGTACGGTACGTCTCCCAATTTGTGGTTTTCTTTGCGGAGGTTTTGGGGTAGCCGCGATAATAGTCACCTCTGCAGTTCATTACACGTGCTTTCATGTTACTTTCATTCTGCTTTCATTTTTTGGAGCTGAATCTCAAAGAGACGGATCCTGACTAAGACCCTGATTTGGGTGCGCAAACTAAATCTAATTTGATCTGGATGTTCTGGAAATTTGGAATTTAAGAATCAACGATGATGACCTGCTTAATACGAAATACTTCAACATTGGGCCGGTAGAACAGTCCCAAAGCGAAACCACCTGGGACATCAGGGAACTGATTTCTAGGTCTTGATTCCTGTAAGTTCTTGTAATGTTCTTTTGGCACTGCACATGTCAGAGTCTCGACATTCACATTCTGTTGCTTTTTGGCGGCTTTGGGCTCAAGAGTGGGATGAATGGGGTAGCACCCAACCCACTGATAAAGAGAAAAGAAGGCCAAAAGCAGTGGATATCTGTTGCTTTCAGCCGCATCCGCCAAGAAGACCAGCAGCTTTCTTTGGCTTTTCCACGTGTGCGACACCCTCCGGCCCCTTCCCCCTTCGCAGCGCATCCCGGCCACACTCGGCAGCATGTTCATCCTCGGCGTTGGCACACACCACAGCGTCGCAGCCGTAGCGGCACGGCACGGGACGGAAGTCGCAGACCTCCAAGTGCTCTTGCTCCTCCTCGGCACGTGGTCAGTCCAACGGCGCGCGGGTTTTGGAACGTTTTTCAGACACCAACGGGCGGCCTAGAGGATGCCAAGCAGGTGGCGACCTAGAAGTGCTCATCAAGCCTCCTATGTGAGCTAGGGGGTGCTCAAATCAAGCGAAACGCCTTTTCGGCCCGACTTGCAACCCACCCTTCAGTTCCAAAACGGGAAATAAGTCTCGTAGAAATCCGGTCATTTCGAGCTTCAGCAGCGAGAACTTCATGACTGGATTCTACAAAGCTCATCATCCGTTGGTGCAGGTTGTCCAAGGTGATTGTGCAGAACCCCATTGTCCCATTGTGCTGCACACGTTCAAGTCCCGATCAAAAAAACAGATCACCGGAAGATCCGGGTCAAAACTAGCCAAGCACAACTGTAAGATCAAGATTGTGAATATTCTCCCTACTGCCAATTGCTCACAAACATTGTACTAATCAAATCAATTATAGCATGTAAAAATTGATTAAAACCAATAAAGCAACGATTATTTGTATCTCTATTAATTTAGCATGGTTATTAATGTTATCAACTTTTCAGAAAGCTGTGTTTAAATAGGGCTAATTAAAAGAAAGAGCACGGTTTTAACTTGAATGCGTATACTAAAACAAAAAATATTAATCCATCACCTCATTTCAGACGTGATCCCCGTAAACCCCTGGCAAAACTGGGTCTCCCGGAAGTGAATCCCCGTATGTGTCACCGGGGAACAGGTGTGGAACAACCGGGGGGTGATGTGTAAATGTCCTGACTGTGGACGTGCACACCAGTAGTAGAAAAGAAAGCCATGCAGAAACCTGGTCCATACCTGTGCACTGAGGCCGCATCCTCCCAATCCCACCCAACCTATCAAACCTGCTGCCGGCCCTAGCGGCAAAGGCCAAAGGCATGTGCCGACAGCCACTCGCACCGTAAGCACAGGCCACTGGGCGGAAGTCGCAATCCAAGGCGTGAGCCCTGGCGGTTCAGAGTCTTGCAGCAAAGAGCATAGAGCTATTCGGAGGAGGTCCTTAAAGAACTTCAAAAAGACCTATAGGAAACCGGTAGTCATCTCGGTGTTGAGATGTTCCAAATTAGCTCCATTATCCTGAAAAACCCTTCAACCCCTGGAGCCGATGAATGGAAAGGAACAAAATAAACATACCACCGTGCAATGAGGAGAGTGAGAATCATGTACCTTCAGCATCTCTTAGCCTGGCCGCTACCTGAAGCCGGGAGTGTTCTGGCCGCTACCGCGGAAAGGGCCGCCGACATGACGGTCGGGCGCCGACATTATCACCTTTCGGCGCCACGGAATAAGAACGACGTCGTTGAGAATAAGGACGACGTCTTTGGGAATTTGGGACTTGAATATATCGTGGTTCTCATACTTATAGTCTCCAAAAAATAAAGAGCTCGGACGTTTGAGAGCTGTTTGCGGAGGACGAACTTTAAGTCCGCCACGGCGTCGCATCGGTACAATGGAAATGTTGCTTCACCACACCGGTTCCGAGGCACTTCACACGACTAGAAAAAAGAAATAAAGAGTCATTAAAGAAATCCCTGTCCTCGATTCCACCGACTCACTGTCACCACCAGTGGAACTCAGTGGTTCCTACTTGATGTTCACACATATCTCAACCCCAAGAACGGCCAGGCTCCGGTCTCCACCCCCCCTGGAGCCCCCTGCTCGATGAAGCAAGGCGAGCGGTTCATGGGGCAGCCCTTCTCTGCATACGGACCTCGGGGGTTTGGACGATGAGGCCGGTGCCTCCTGCCCACTGGTCTTGGAAACAAAGCGCGACGCCAAACACGTGCCATTCTAAGGCAACCCTTTAGCACACAGCCCTAGGTCACTCACACGTTCCACCACACGTTCCAACTGTTTGCGCGTCAACCTGACCACTTCAGCGCATCCCCCACCACTCGGTAGACCGAGCTGCAGCGCACTGCCCGGCCCTCCATGTTCCGCCGTGCCAACGTGTCCACGCAGCGCGGCGTGGCACACGGGGTCTTCGGCGGCGCCTCGAGCTGGAGCTTGGCACACAGCTCCACCAGCCTCAGTCGCTGCTCCGCTGCACACGCTCCCACAAGGGCGCTCGTCGTCCGGACAAGGCCGAGGTGCTCGGGAACGGCGCCGGCGGCCATGTTGGAGGCCCAGGAGGTCAAGGAGCGACACTTCTTCCAAAGGCGCGCACCCTTGCGGGAAGGGTCATGGCCGACGTGATGGTGCGAGTAGGTGCGAGTAGGTGGTAATAGGTGGTAGCAGCAGCAATAGCAGTAGTAGCAATAGCAGCAGTACAGTAGTAGCAGAAGAAGTAGTAGTAGTAGTAGTAGCACCAGTACTCGCAGTAGCAGTAGCAGCAGTAGTAGCAGCAGCGGCAGCAGTAGTAATTAGCAGTAGCAGCAGCAGTAGTAGCAAGTAGTGTAGCTGTAGGTGTAGCCAGCGCGGGTGCTAAGTGGCTGCCCCCACCGTCCACCGTTCCCCGTATGCCTCCGGGATCTGCATGGTCATGCGGAGATCCACGCGGGGGCTCAGCCTCAAACGCACAAGCTTGGTATGCGCCAAGGAGGTGTTCCGATCCGAGCAAAGCCTGGGCAAAGCCCAATCCCAGCATGTCTTGAAACAAAAATCATTTCAGGTATGGCGCCTCTTCACAGTGACCTGTGGCAGATCTGGCAGATCTCTTCCCTGAGTCCACAAAATGGGTGGACCTTCGAGGAAGGGTAGATATATATGATTGATAGTGTTATATATATATATATAACGTACTGTATATAGATTTATATATATATATATGTGTGTGTGTCTATATGTATACCGTAATTACATGCGCGCACACACACAGAGAGATATATAGATAGATAAATAGATAGATAGATAGATAGATAGATGGATGGATGGATGGATGGATAGATAGGTAGATATACCTAGAACCTGAATGACCCCTATTTTGGACCACCAACCACCCAAAAAGGCCAGGCCCTTTCCTATCAAAACAGGGGTCAGTTGGGTTCCAGCTAGACCGCTGCGAGCCGTTCCATGCTGGAACCCCCCGAGACCCGGTCTCCCGTTCCAGCAGAGTCGTGCCAAGGAACGACCGGGTCCGACTCCAAGCCTCGGGAAGTCCGTCCAGTGGTTCCGCTGGTTCCGGTGGGTCTCGGTCTCCGAAAGGATTCACCATCAACATCATGGCCTTTCCCGAACCACTGTTTTACGTAGGATTTACCGTAGAAAACCACAGCAAGCATTTTCTATACTTGAGGCCGAGAGTTGGTGACGAAAGCTAGCAGGGCAGGGATGAAGCGGGGGATATCTGCCGCCACAGGAACAGTCAGCCCCCTGCTAGCACAACTACACACGTCCCAGAGACGTCCCAGGGAGGAGTTGAACCCGCAGGAGGGGAAGTTTTCACGCGATGCGGCGCTCGCTCTCGAGGATTCCAGCCCCTCGCCAAAGCAAGAACAACTCCAGCTAGCTGTTATATGGTGTGTTGAAAAGAATTACATTATAAAACCAGGTCAAGCCATTATTATAAATATATATATATATAGTGTTGGACTTGGCAGGCTAGGGGTTCGGTCAACGATCCCAACACAATCCGAGACGACAAGTACGTCGCCCAGCCACTCGTTCCGCCGAAGAGGCAAGCTCCGGAGTGCCGAAGTGCGGCGAGCAGGGCCTCGCAGGGGACAAACCACGCAGCGGGCGAGATCAAAACCTGAAGCCCCAACACCAGTATCCTGGCTTTGACCAGCCGGGCATGTCAGTATCTCGCTAGAGTAATGTGCGTTAGTCATTATGGTCATCCACTGTGGGACAAAAACTCGCGGATGCGCATCACCAAAGTGACCTTCGTGCGATCCATCACGAAGGTCCCTCATCCAGCGGATCAAACAATTCAGGATGTGGTCTCTGGAAGTTGAAGAAGCCAAACACTCACAGCCCCACATCTCCAAGAAGAGCTCCACCTCCCCTACTACTATCCCCATTTTCCCGAGCCCCCCCTGCCTCCTTGGACTAGGTGTCCTGGTCCGAGCATCCGAGCGGTCGCCCCGCCCGCGCCGCTCTCGGTCGGCCTCCGTGAGGAGGAACACCACCTCCAGCAGCAGCCTGACGAAGCGCCCCGGGTGAGCCGGGCGAAGTGTTCCAAATACACCCTGGGAAAGACCCCACGTGGAACCGGAAAATCGTCTTCCAAAGGTCCATGTTCAGGTTCCGATCTTCCCCAGTGCACCAAGGAACCGAAAGCCGACCAATTGTCATTCGTGCTCGTTTCCAATCGCGATACCTATTGTTTTGTGGAGTATGCCCTAATGACCGAAATGCTCGACATGGTGTCCTTGGGAGAAAAGCATCCACCTTCGACAGAAACCCCGGATCCGCCTGGAGGCCTCGAGCAAGTCTTGCCGCCTCGGGCGTTTCTGGCGCTGGAGGTGGTCCAAACGCGCTGCGCAGGAGCCGAGCTTGGCCTTGCACTGGGAGAGCCTGACCGAGAGCAGTCACCGGCACCGGAACAAACACGAGGCACCCTCGTCCGGCCATGATCAAGAGAGAATGTCCAACTCTTGACTGTCATGCGTGGGGGTCGTCTTCCTTCATATATGAAGTATATTACTACATACTACACATCGTATCCGCGTGACAGTCAAGAGTTTGGCATTGCCCCATCGTCCGTGCGATCACTACGATTCGCCCCAGAGCACCTGGACCTCACTTCATCCATCAACTCGATCCCCGTTGGCCCCAAGCGAAAGTTCCGCCCCTGTGTGTTGCACAGGCTGGAAGAAAACACCAGTCACCGTCGACCAAAGCTGCTAGGAAAGGCATCCAAACAGGTCCCTGGAAGCTGCGGTCTGGACATTCGACTTCCCACACCCAGTTACTGGTACGCTTGGACGGGCCTCAGTGAAAGAACCACATAATGGACCATATATATATATACATATGTGAAGAACCAAGAATCTTCCACTGATACCAGCCGCATTGGGTTCTGAGCTTGGCCCACTCAAGTCTTTCTCAAAACCCCTTCGTCACACTGAGGCCCAACACTATCTTAGTCGTCCAAACACCGATGCGAGAAGCCAAGTCATCCCCCCAAGCTCCAACCAAATGGCTTGGCTGGGTTACATGTTCTGACCCAGCAGCTCAAGCACTTCCACCTTCTTGGCACTTGTTCAAATTTCGCATGAATTCCGATTCTCCATTGCGCTGCTTTTCCAGGAACCCATCGACGTCGCGTCCAACGGCACCGAGGTGGGGACACCACCCTGCCATCACCCGAGACGTCCGCCGTTTTCACCCTTCTCACCGCCTATGCGACGCGACCCGCGTCTTGATCAGCAGCAGCTGGCGCTCATCACACGCCTCCCCGCCCGCGTCGGCCGCTGCACGCGAGAGGCACCTGGCGGCCCCGCTCAGCGTTCCAATGCTGGCGCCATCATAGGCTCAAGTCGGGGTGAACGAACCACAAAACGAACCTCAAACAACTGCTTGCCAAGGCTCTTCTTTTCCACCAAGTGGGACCCTACAGGCTCTAACACTTCACTTATGCCGCCTTATGCCCTTTTGATTCCTTCGATGTTTTTCTCCCCGAACAGCCCGCACGACACCTGTGGTCCGAGGAGGCCGAGAAGAGCGGCTTCACCTCCGGCGGCGCCCGCGGGCTCGGGCTGCGCGGGCTGCGCGGGCTGCGCGGCGAGGCGAGCCCGGGGCTCGTCATGGCGGAGGGCCCGCTGCGGCGCGCGGGGCGTCGTGACAGGGGAAGGTCTGGAGAGGTCTGAAGGGGTGAGGTCAGGGAAAAGGAGATTGGAGAGGTGCAGCTGGATAGAAGGCAGCTGGATAGAAGGCAGTTCGAGTTCTCTTCCGGATCACTGTTGGAGGTTACTGCTTGACCTTTCGAAGACCCATTTGTGAATGAAGGTGGCTGCTGTGAATCTGCAAGAAACACACCGAATGGGCAAATGCCGAAGAGCCCACGACTGCTTCGGGTCGGGCCTGATTCGCCAACCACATCATTGAACACATGCTTCGATGCTTGCGGAAAGGCACCCAGCACTTGCGCACACATGTTTGTACGCATGTATGTATGCAAATGTCTTACGGTATGCACACACACACACACACCACACGTCTGACATGTGTATGCATACCTGGCTCCCAACGTTCCCAAAGGGTCAACCAGGGTACAACGATCGAGCGGAATTCTCAGGGCCCAACCTAGGTGTGTCAGGGCCCAAACGATGGTGAGTGCCCCCGGCTCTGGAATTACCAATTTGAAAATTCGTTGTGCGACACATGTCGTTGATCTCTGCATGGCCGACCGGCGACCGGAGAAATGCCTGGAAAAAAACAACAAGTCGTCGAACTTCCATCTATCAGTCTGGCCGTTCGACCGTTGCCAGGGCACAAATGGTTCATTCAGTTCGGGCGTTTGTGCTCACTCGGGCGAAAAAGAATCAACTTGATTGGAGCCTGGTGTGATTCGGCCGTCACCAAGAAACCGGATCACATGAGGTCCAAAGCCAGCAAGATGTGATTCCACTGTCTTCGTGATTTTCAGGTCGGAATCGGGCGCTGCCAATGTCTCACAGCTCTCGCTCATCGAACCCGCAATGGAAACGGTCGCGGGTCGCGGGTCTGACGGTTGGAGACATCGAACGGAACTCTTCCGGCTCCCGCCCTCGAGCAAGGCGAAGGCGACCTGCGATGGAGCCCACCTTTTCCAAAGGCCATCAGCAGCATATCTAACCCCAAGAAATCCAGATGTTCCATCAAATTCGGAAAAAGTCCCGCGAGAACTATGGAGATGCGTGTGATCCACGTAAAGGCTGGATCCAAACGGAGGTCTGTAGATGGTAGAAACCGTGCTGAAACAGCAGCTCCCGACTCCCCTCCCACCTGGGCCAGGAGCTCATCGAGGCCCTCCACCACACCACCGCCGTCCGGGCAGCTGGCACCCGCCTCGCAGCGGCGGCGCCGGATCGGCGACTCGGCGAAGGGCAGAGTCCGAAGATGGCCCTCGCTGTCTGCAACCTTCGGCTCTGCTCTTTTGCTTTCAAGCTGTTTCTCCTCGTTTTCCCGCCTCTCGGATTTTTTTAATGTGTGTAGCCTGCTTTCTTTTAATCAGGCCCTCCTCTCAGAGTGTTCTTTCTTGACTTACGTCGTTTCTCTTGAGAATAGCCTTCTTGTTCAACAACTGCTCTTTCTTTTCTTTTTTCTGAACAGCCTAAAAACAATATGAAAATAGTATAGCATGCGTCTTTGTGCGTCTTCATACATCCTCGTTGACCATTGGAACCCCTGGATGGCGAACAATGTGAAGCACGCCGCCGTAAGACCCTCTGGGCTGTGTGCAATCATTCTCTTGAGTATTCGTGAGTTTGATATATAAACCAATAAACTCGAAGCTTTCTCAATTGCATTCCTCTGTCACGCCCCTTTTAAGCCCTTTGCAATTCAACAGGACATTGGGGACCGTTGTCTTCAGAGATGGGGTGGGGACATGCATGTCCTAGCATGTCCTTGCATGTCCTGAACATGGTGCCATTCAGAGCGGCTACACCCACCGACCTACCGGAACCCCACGACTGCCGATGGCGGTCAGTTGGGCCCTCCCACCAAGAGCAGCTGCAGGTTGGCCTGTCGGGAGGTCGAATCAGTTCGGTGGAATCCAGCCCTTGCCCCCACCACGACAAGGACCCGCACCTGGCTTGGGGTCTTTAAACGAGAACCTGCACCTGGCGTGTTCAATGTGTTGCAGCACCCCGCCACGGTCATCCATCAAGGGTTGGCCTTTAGAGATTCTGAGAAAAACTGGGCACCAAGACTGTTGCAACCAGCATGGTTGACGTGGCTCATGGCACATTTAGATGTTGCTTAGGCAGGCGCATGCCCACGTGGGCCCAACAAACACAAGCCTCTCAGCACCCCACAACCCCATCCCTGTGCCCTTCCTGACCTCCTTGAAGGCGAACTCTCCACTTCCGCCCTCCAAGCGGACCTCGCACGGGGACGCGCGCGCGCGCGCGCGAGCGCGCGCTCTCTGCGCTTGCAGCAACGTGGAGTTTCGGAGGTGCAGAAAATGCTCCAGGGACTGAAGGGATGGCGGCGGTGGGGCCTGCAGTTCCCCCGCCATGACCCCCCTATTGAATGAGTTTCTTTCATCTTCTGTGAGCATAGGTCGAGATAAAGGGAAAGATCGGTGGCAGGAGCTGTACCGCCACCAAGGTGCCAGATCGCACCAACATCGACGTCTTATAAAGAACTCTCTATATATATATATAGGTATAGATATAGATATAGATAGATATACATACATTGCTATTTGGGTTTTAAAGGGAGCAATCTGGCATCTTAAGAAATACAGGTACAGTTGCCAGTTTCCAGCCAACTGTTGACTTCAGGGGCGAGGATGAGGCCCATCCTCTAGTGGGTCAGTCAGGGCTGACTGGCATCTGTTGGTGGCAAATCCACCAGAAACTGCGGCACGAGGGCCGCAGCTGCAGCACAAGGGCTGCTGTTGTCCATGGCTCACTTCTTGTTCGCGGCTGCAATCTCCTTGCACTTCTTCAAGCACGCCGCCGCGTCCAAATCCTCCAAGAGGTCAAACAAGGACTTCTTTCCACCTGAGAAGTACAGATCAGGCAGCCAGGGGCCTGTGGACTGGAATCAACTGTGTGAGGCTCAGATTCATCGGTTGAGAGTGTTGAACAACTTCAACGAGCTTACATCCAAGAGCTCCGCAATATCGCAATATCACCAACTACCCACAAATTAAGACCAAAACCTCAAAATCTTTACTCCGAGGCACCCTCGAAGTCCACTTGAGGATCGTTGAACCATTCTTTGGTCAAAATGGGCAAGGGGATGCCGCTGGCGAGCAGGCCCTTGCCGAAGGCATCCTTTGAAATGGACGCCCGGAGCCAGTTGCAGCGCTCGGCCAGCGCCTCGAAGGGGCTCGCCGAGGCGTGCACACCGTTGTCGCCGGTGTCCTAAGGCGCGGGCACAGCCCGGGGGCGGTCGGTAAATTCGAAAAAAAGGCTGGCGAAGTCTCGGGCGTGGCCTTCAAAGCACTTGGCTCTGTTGGGGGCCCCGTCCAACGCTTCCGTTCAAAGGCGTTGTTTTCATGAATCTTGGGAGAGAGAAGAGCAAATAGGGAATTCCCTTCAAATAGGGATTGAAGCTGAACTCCCTGGAATTATCATGGAAGTGCTTGCTCTCCAAACCGGTGGCTTTTCACATCCCTGATGATTCCAAGATTGCGTCCAAACGAATTTAGGACCTAAATAACCTGCTCCACCCACTCCCCCTGCCGGCGAGGTGCAGGCTGCGCTTTCAAACCTGGGTGGCTTGAGTATGCGGAGAAGCTTCTCAAGCCGGTCTCAGGTACCGCCATAGATCTCTTCGGGTTCTCTTCAGGTGTTCCCGAATGCACTCCCTGAAACAATCATGGAAGTCAAGCACATGCCCCTGGAAGACAATTGTCCTCCACAAAAGGGGGCAGCACTCAGCTTCCATGACTGTTCTGAGGGAGGGGCATCCCCCGGGACCCAAGCACTCTTGCGCTGTGGGGCTGATCTAAAGCACCATTGTTGGCTTGTCCAAGTCTTTCCCCCTCTTCTTCCCCCTTTTCGAGTGGTTCCACTGACCAGATCTGCCTCTCAAATGCCCCACCTGCCTCACCTCTTGGCCACTCGAAAGACCCCATCCCCCCCGGTCCAACGCGCCAAGCGGCCCAGGTCGGACCACTTGCTGTAGATCTGCTGGCGCAGGGAGCCCTCCGGCGCGCTCGCAGGGTCGGTGGGGCCCAGCAGCTTCCCACGGAAGTCGGCCCAAGGCATCTTCCTCGGGCGGGCTTCCGTGTGCCACGGTGAGGCCTTCGAGGAGGCCTTCGAAGGCCGGCGAGGATGCCCAAAAAAGGGTTGGCTGAGCATCCAACAGGTGGCTTAGCATCGAAGATGCCTCCAAAGTGGTGGTGGGACCCCAAGTCTCCCCAGGTGTGCCCCAGCTTCCGGGCTTGGCCCGTCTTGGTGTTGCTTTTGGGGCTCCAACCGCAGGAGAGAAACGCATAGGAAAAGAACCCGTCGGTGGGGTGCGCTCCACGTAACGGGTGTCCATTTATAGCCTACCTCAGAGACTCAGAGGTCAAGGAGTGTCCATTAACCACCCCAACTGGGGGGGTCCAGGTTATTCACGATGTAGCCCCGACCTTTGACGTCAAAGGTTCTTTAGCTCAGAACACCGGTGGACTGATGCTGGGATTTGAAGTTCCGTTGTTTTCTGCCACGACCCATGTTCTGCCCCATATGGGTGCTGGGTGTTGAATTGAGGACCATACCTGAACCACTGAACCACCTCGCTTCTTTTTTTGTCTTTTGCCAAGGTGGAGTAGCTACTGGAGAGTCATCCCACCATCTGAGAACATCATAAGCCTCAGCAGTCAGCTCCACCCACGTCGATCCTCACACAATCCCACCCTGGCGATCCCGACTAAGCAGCTCCACGGGCCACTCCACCTGCGACGAGGAAAGAGCCGTTTCGGCGGTGGCAAAGTGGCAGCTCGCAGATCGAGCAGGTGTTGATTCCATGATCATTCCATGAATCATACTTATCATGGAATACATAATCATTCCAATCAGGTGGATTATTGGAATGATTGGAATCATAGTACTTATACTGATCATTCCAATCAGGTGGAGGCATGTGTTGTATCGACTAGTGACGCATGTCTGATGTGGCTTTCTCAGCAGTGTCCGCGGGGAGTTGATCCAAGTTGGTCAGGTTCAGACTTTGGGACGAAGGAACCGTTCTCGTTGTCGAATACGACTCGGCAGAGTCCGGTCCACCGACCGGGTAACTGTTTGGATCTTTGGAGCGGAGCGGAGAATGATGATATCAAATCCCCGAAGTCGTGGAGATTGTAGATGTTGAACCATTCTGGTATACGTGGGAGCTTTCTTCATCAACAGTCTACAGACAGTCTACTTTATTGATGGTTTGATTCTGGTCCATGTAGATCCACAAAATTCAATGTGGTCGGAAATAGGTCATCGGCCTCATAATAGTAGATACTGGTTCCCGGTGCGGTGAACTTGGAGCGCATGTTCATGTAGAAGCCGTTGATGACCTCAAGGTCATGTGGCACAAGGAATTGATTGAAACAACGCAGTGGCTTAGAAAAGATACAGCAATCCCCTTTTTCAACCTGCTTTGGGCATTGTTTTTCCTGATATGTAATGTATGTGCGCGAGTGTTTCTACATATCTAGTTTAGGGGTCTTCGCCTGGCCATCTATTTTACCGACCGACCTGTTCGATATCCAGGTAGGCGCATTTTTTGAGTAAAAAGAACTCTCCCATTGGGATGGTAAAGCGTCTTTTTATCTTTTCTTCATCAACCGCCTTCCTCGCCCCACCAAGACACATAGATGTCATCCACCTTTCCACAGTAGAAGCCGCCTCCGAACTTGATGATGCCCTCCCCCTTCTTGAGCGCATCGTACTTCTTGCCCAACTCATCGGCCGTGATGCCCAGCTTCTTCGCACCGTCCATGGCGTTGAAGACCAGTCCGTCCTCCATGACTTTGCTCCACTTCACGCCGAACCTGGCGCACTGGTTCCACAGTTTTGGGCGAGAAAACTGTATAAAAAGAGGACCTGTGTTTTGGTGCGACGCATTCGGCAAAAACTGAGCCGATGTCAATGTGCAAAATGAAATAAAATGAACTATATACATGTATATATATATATATATTTATAATATGATCTCAGGCCTCGATACGAACTCACGTTTGTCCTTCCAACAAGCAACGAGCTTTCTCAAGAAACTCCCGTTCTGACAGAAGACAGGGTCTTGACCTGCCATGGAACGGAAAGAAAACGCTGTCGCAGCCAACGGCCACCATACTGACAAACCGCGTCCTGGTCAAATCCAACCCAAACCAAGAAACTGCTTCTCAAATTCCTCCTGCGACTTCTCCTGGACCGTCAAGTCCTTGGGCTTCATCGTCACCGCCTTGGCCGCAATGGCACCGTAGTGGGTGTCGATCAACTTCTTCTTGTCCTCACTCAGACTGAGGCAACACGGCACAGGCAGGGTGTTCCGGCATCCCAGTGGATCCAGCGCTGCATCCGTTTGTATTAGATTCTTTGATCGATGTGAGTGCTTTTGTGTTGAAATGTTCTTCAGATGAAGATCGGTGGGTGAAACCAAGCCAGTTTTTGAAACGGATCGCTCAACTCACGAAGTGAAAAATGGTGCGAATGGAGCAAGCGCTGGGTGGGAGTGACCAAGCCAAGCGGTTCCCCAGGCGCCTTGTTTACACCAGGCGACCTGGGGAACCGCAACCTAGTTCAAAGCTTCAAAATCAGCATCGTCACCATGTAAGTGCAGCACAAACGAGATGTGCTTCCCCATGCCTTCAGCCATCACAGCTCATTTCCATATATGACCTGTCCAACTGGGGGTGTTACATTGACCAATAGACAAAAGATGTGACCCTCGAGGTCACTGGACATCGGAGGCGCCTGGCCACCGACCTTCCAAGACGATGCGTTCGGCCGAGCGTCGATGACGGTGGACTTGATGGTGCCCTCAGACTTGATGGTGAGGCCTTCGCTGGTCAATTTCTCCTTCACCAACGTCTGGACCTGTCAGATGCGAACAGAGCTGCGAACAGAGCTGCCTTTGTGTCTTCGTGGCGAGTAGGAGCAACGAAACCGTGCAGCAAAAAGATGGAACGGTCCTTACCCAGTGCAACATCCATTTGGAGATGCGCTAGTCACTAGTCACTAGTCACTGGCGTTCGTGTTGTTCATTTCACCTCCCATGCGTCTTAGTTCCTTCTTCACCCTCAGATCCCTATGTCTCATTGCCAGTCTCCCCCCACACCTTTCAGGCTGTCTCATCTGCGGGCCTTCTCGTTGTTGGCGTGGGGCTTGATGAAGACGAAGGCCGTGTGGGTCTTGCCTCCTGCTTCGATCGTCTCAGCGCTCAGACACTCACCAGTGGTCTTCATGATGATCTTCGTCACCTCAGGTGAACGGCGCATGGCGAACAGAACGGACCAATGAAAACCAGCCAAGTCCTGTCTCAGCTTGGACAAGAAATCAAGGATTGGCCCAGGAGGACCACGAATCTAGTCACACTAGTGATGCACAAAATCCTACACCACCCAACCTCAACAAAGTCTTGAGCTTTGCACCAAACCCAGCAGAACCTAGACCTAGCGGGACCTAGGACCTAGCAGGACGTTGGCGGACGTTCCATGTCTCACACTTCCCAGGCCCAGCGGCTCGGTATGGGTCGCAATTCGCCCCCGGTCGACGGTCCTCCATGTACCTGGGCATATCCCAAGCGCGAGACCCCCCCGTTTTGGACGGAGGAAAAAGCCACTGAGTACTGAGTGCCTCAGCAAACCCCAAAACTCCGATGTTTCATTGGCCCTTGTTCTTTTCAGCCTCTGCCACCCAAAAGGTTTTCATTCCACACTGGCCAAGCGGCCCGCGGCCGCTCTTTTCGGCCTCCCGGGGGATGCGGATGGAGGCACCGCGGTTGGCCACGCCGTACCTTGGGCGACTCGGTTGGCCACGAGGCGACGCGGTGGGCCACTCGTGCAACTCAGCTGAGTTGCAAGGGGCTGATCCCGGAGTTTAAATCCCTTGACGCCCTGCAGCTTTGGGAGGGGAAGCACGGCAGGGAATTGTTTTGGGGGGTGGGATTGGGGGTCGTGGTTGGCTTCTGCCAATGGGCTTAGGCAGAAACATGCCAAAACTAACTGGTAGAATCATGCAAGCCATGGACACACTTGAGGTATCACTATACCAAAAAATGCTAAGGTTTGCCTCAACTTGGATTTCAAACGAAAGGTGTGCATTTGAGCATTAGGACCATTGGGACAATCAACAACTCCAGCCCCTGCCCCTTCCAGAATGCATGAAAGGTGCTTGAAAGTATTGATGTCACAGGTCTCATGCTTGCCAGTGAGGCGCTTGTCATTGTCCTCCCCGTACTCGGCAATGTGTTCCTTGGCGACTTTGCCAAATGCTTCGCACACCTTGATGATGGTGTCATAGCCACCGGCAACTCGCATAGGTGTGACAGAGAAGTTGGTGTGGCATCCGGCACCGTTCCAGTCACCCTTTGCTGGCTTGGGCTCAAAAGAGCAAACGCAGTCGTGCTTCTCTGTCACGCGCAGCATGATGTATCGAGCCATCGTCAGGTGATCTCCCATCTCAATGCCACGGCATGGGCCAATCTGGAACTCCCACTGGCCAGGCATCACTTCTGCATTGATGCCTGAGATCTTCACACCTGCCTCCATGCACAACTTGTAGTGCTCATCTGCCACCGGACGGCCGATGGCCACATTGAAGCCAGCACCTGTGTAGTACGGCCCTTGTGGCGCTGGCTCACTGCCATCTGCGTTGAAGCCCAAGGGAACTGTGGGCTTCAAGCCAACCTTGCCCGGTTTCATCAGGGTGTACTCTTGCTCGATGCCGAACCAAGGATCCAAGGAGCGGTACATGTCCATGATCTCGGCACACGGGGCTCGAGTGTTGTTCTTTGCTGGCTGATCATCCCAGGCGTTCCAAGCATCAGCAAGCACCATCACATTTGGATAGCCACGGAAAGGATCGTTGAAAATCGCCCTTGGCTTCAAAAGCACCTCCGAATTGTGTCCATCTGCCTGTCCAGTGCTGCTGCCATCGTAGTTCCACACTTTCAGGTCGGTCACCTTCAAAGGCCTTCCAGAAATGAAGTGCAACACTTGATCGACGTGCCTACCATCCTATTTACTGAGCAGAAACCTCACAAGCTCCAAACCTCTGGGATTCTAGGACTGTCAAATCTATTGGTTCCACCAGGAACGGCAACAGGTTGGCATGCCTACAGAGTCAAATCGAGCCTAGTCTTGCAGGGGCATCCACCAGTATGGAAATGATGAGGCTATATCTTTCACACCTATGCCGCCTATGCCCCTGCCTGGCGGTCATGGTCATGGTCTTGGACCGTGTCACGCCATCGGCATCCAACCAAACATACTCGGCCAAAACGCAGCCGCTGAACGAGCGCAACTTGGCCAAAGCTGAGGCACCTCCATCCTTGCCAGTGCGGACCTGCCAGCGGGAAAGGATGACGACTGTTGTTTTGTCCCACCTAGCCTGCACGACCAAAAAGAATGTCACTACTAGGCACTAGGAGACACTATGGGCTTTCCTCTTCCCTCACTCCCACCGAGATAGGCTACTGATGGCGGCCACTGCAGGTGCCTTGTCATCTGTCTTGGTCTCTGGCTTGGTGGGGGCGGCCTTTGCCTTGGGCTTAGCCTTCTCGTCCTTCTTGCCATCCTTCGCCTTTGCCTTGGGGTCCGGCTTGGACTTCGCCTTAGCCGAGGGCTTGGACTCCTTAGCAGGTGCTGCCTTCGACTTCTTGGCCCTTGCTGGCTTGCAAGCCTCCCAATACTCCTCAATCTCGCGCCTCTTGTAGGTCTTCTTGTATGTGGTAACCAGCTCGTTGTACGTGACTGCCTCTCCTGTCGCTGGGTCTACGCGCTTGTCAGACATGCTGAAATGCAGTGACTTCGAAGGACGCAGGAACGAGTCAGAGGGGCGCTTGCACGCTAAGCTGAGCAGGCTCGAGCTTCAAAAGCTGAGAAAAGACATCTTCTGACTCAACATGAGCAACTGAATCAGCTCGAGTGAAGTCGCACGGAGCCACTAACAATCTAAATGAGGAATCAGTTAACCCGTTGAGCCACAGAAAGCCTGGACAAAAAAAGAAAACCTCTCTCTTGCCACCACTTCCCGCACTGTGCTCACACCACTGGGCTGGCCACCAGCCATCGTCCCGTGTCTGCCTTCCGCTCGAGACCTGAGGGTCGACGGCCGCCGCTTGAGTGAGCAAGTGTCCACAACGAGAACCACCGAGGCTCGGCTGAGTTCCACCGGCACTGAAGGAATCAATCGAACATTGAAAAACCCAAAAAGATATATATATATATAATATAAATATACATATATATGATATATACTGTAGCAATAATAGGACAAAGAGAGGGGAGATAAAAAAAAAACAAAATAAGACTACACTGTTCTGGGTCCTTCTTTCCAGCCACACCTCCACACCTTCCGGCTCTTTTGACCGAAGTCAGCTGCCCTCGTCATCCTCCTGGCGGGCATCATCCTGTGACCGCGACAGCCGCGTGGCCATGATTGCACCTTGGCAGGGCCCAGTAAACAGCTTTGGCCGAACGAAGGCGGCATGTCAAGACTCGCGAAACCCGTTGCTTGAAAACTCCCAAAAATATAACTACTGTATATACATGCGTGTTATATACAGTAAATATTATACAAACACTCTTTTGGAATCGCGTCGCTCAACAAGCCTCCCGGACCAAAGACGACACCGAAAAAGGAACAACACTGCACAACTCACGTTGTCCCCCCTGAATATAAGGTATACATATAATAAATATATATATATATACATACAGTGGCTCAAGGCTCAAGATTTCGGCTCAAAAAGGGCGACTGATTGGCTGGGCACATCGCGAGAACGTGCTGACGGCCCGGGAGATCAAGACGGGAAAGATCGCCTTTTTGCCGAAGAATGAGAAGAGGGTACCAGGTGTGCTCTGGCTGCAGTGGCAGCTGGATTTGGCAGGACAGGCTCATCAACAAGCCGAACCTGAGGTGCCTGCAATGCAATAAGCCATGGCAGCAATCCAGGGTTCCTGACCTGAAAAGGCGGCCAGTCACATGGGCTGCTTGGAACTACCCGACGAAAGGCCGCCAATGGCCGAAGAAAACTTACCAAGAAGCTCTTTTAGAACCACCTCCGGGCCTGTACGGAGGCCAACCGGCCAAGCGCGCCAAAAAGGTCAAACAGACCGCCCTATGCAAAGCAGTTCAGGAACACTGGGACTCCTTGCCGGACGCCATGAAGACTCAGTGTGAAGCCCTAGGTGTCCCGCCAACGACACCACCTCCACCACCTGATCTTCCGAGCTTGATCAAGGAGCATCTTCAGAGTCTGCCACAGGATCTGAAAGCTGCCGTTGAGAAGATTGTTGTTCCAGACAAACCGGAACCGACTTTGGCGACCAAGCTGAAGCAGTCGGTTGGGGCACTACGCCAATTGACTGACAAAAAGGCCGCCATCCAGTCGAAGGCTGATGCAGTGAAGGCACAGTACACTGCATTGCTTCAAGAGCTCAAAGAGCTTCAAAGCAAGATTGAGAGTGCTCAAAAAGATCTCCAACAGGCCACCACGCTCTACAACAAGCAGTTGGAAGAAGACAAGCAGGCAACAGCCGACAGCAATGTCGATCCAGACGAATTGACTCCAGAGAATCTGATGGCCATCATGGCCAGTGTCGGTGTACAGGCCACCTCGACACAGATTCAGGACTTTGCACACAAGCTTGTTGAGAATGTGTCAAAAAGAAGGAAGTGCGGGTAACCCTGCCACGCAGTTTTTCATGATCAGAGAAAGCGCTCAGACACTTTGCACACATCATGGGGGAAATGATGTCAGCATGGAGTCTGATGGGGAAGATTTTGGCTCAGGCGATCAAAGGGACCAGATGGCCGAGCCTGGGGCAGCATCACCTTGCTCCAATGAGGTGATGCTTGAGGATGGCAGCAGCTATCCGAGTTTTTGTGGAGGCGCTGGAACCCAGGCGGAGAACCTGGACACTGAAGCGCCTATGGAAGTTGACCAACATGGGGAAGATAGGCAGGTAGCCCAGTGCCCTCTGGACTACGTGCTCCAAAATTTGCATTGCCGCCTTGGCAATCCTCGAAACAGATGCTATGCTAATGCTCCTTTTCGCCTCTGGGCCTGGTCAGGAAGTTTCTTGGCTGGACCAAAGATGTGGAACCACACCGCCAAGGCAGTTCAGGCTGCTCTGGCCGATGAGGAGATAGTTCAGTTGCCGCAGCTTCAACCTTTGAAGCCTTTGTGGCAAAAATTTGACGAGAATGCCCAGGATGATGCAGCCCATTTTCTTCTTGAGTTGAAGGACTTGGCACAACCCCAACAGGTGATCACGCAGTATTACCACATTGACCATCGACAGGAGGTGCATCAGAGAAAAGAATTTCCTATGCACTTGATCTTTGAAGACAAAGGTCACCCGCAAGAATTTGAAGAGCTCATCAGCAATTGGGCAAACCAAGCAGAAGGCCAAGTGTTAGCCGGCAGAGGGCTTTGGGTGGCCCAAATTGGCAGGTACACTTTCCAACACTTGGAGTGGACCAAACATCATCAGGTGTTGCATGTACCTTCGGTTTTCAATCTGCCGTACACTTTAGATGGCAACAAGATCCAGACAGAACAGTATTCCTTGATTGGCCTGTTGTGTCATTCTGGCACAGCACACAAAAGTGGACATTTCTTTGCAGTTTTTGCCTACCGTGGACTTTACTGGATTGTCGATGACGGATCCTATCCCAGACCGGTGGCACGCTTGCAAGACAGCCTTTTGACACAAATAGTTCAGATTTGGGCCATTCCCTCCGACATGGTGTTGCCGGAGCACATCCCATCTGACATTCTGGCCAGTCAGACGGAGCTGAGTGAAGTGCAGGCACACAAACGCCATTGTACTCATGGTGTTGGCTTTTCCTTTGCAAATGTCACGACTCTTGGCCAATCAGTGCGGCAATGGTTGCTTGGCAGAGAAAGAACGCCAATCTTCCTGGCGGAAACTCATTTGAGCCCGGAAGACCATGACAAAACACTGCAATGGTTTGCTACCAGAGGCTACGGCATCATTGGGGAAGCCGCAGCGGTAAGCCCCAAAGGAGGCACAAATGGAGGCCTCTTGCTGGTTTTTCCGGCGAATCTGCATTTCCACTACGTTCAAAAGCAGATCATTGACGGTTGTGGGTGGTTTGCAGTACACTGGACTTTCGAAAACTTTGATCTCATCTTGGTCATGGTATATTTTAAGTGTGGAGAAGGCCTGCAAGGAGCCACAAATTCTTTGCTGTGGTCCGGGCTCCTCACCTTTGTCACCAGTCTTGCCAAGCCGGTGATAGTGTTTGGAGACTTCAACATCACACCAGAGGAATTCATGGCCACCACGATGGGCACCATCATGCAGGTGCAAGTCTTAGCAACAGGCGAGGAAACCTGTGCCACAGGGAGGGAACTGGATTGGGCTTTGGTGACCACAGCTCTTCTCCCTGAAGTCCGCATTGAAGCCAACTGGATGGTCCCTTTCAAACCGCATGCACAGATAAACCTGCACCTGGCCAAAGATCTACATCAAGTGACGGTCACACAGATACAGCGACATCAGCCTGCGCCCAAACTGGAGAAAATCAGCCTGGAATGGACACAGCTTGCTGAGATTGACCTTCCAGTGAAATGGCTTGGAATGCCCACCAACCAGATCACGCAACAGGCAGGACAGCTGTATCACAAGATTGAGCGCTATGTTCTGCAACAGCATACAACTCCCAGTTATGGCCGTGGCACTACTTTGAACTACGTTCAAAAACCGCTGAATGATCCGAGCAAACCATGGTTGTGGAAGAAAGGGTCATTGGCCTACTGGTCCCAGTTGGAAATCAGACTGCAACAGCACATGCATCGGAAGAACTCAGAGGACAGACAGATGCATCATCTAGAACGCCTTGGTTGGCATGTTGATCGCAACTGGCATCCGGACAGCAACATGACGCTTGAAGGTTTCAAACTCCTTTTTCAGATGCTGTGGAAGAGTCATGATGTCGAGCACATTCAAGTCCTTCTACAAGCCGTCAAGCAGCAATGGGAACTTCATCAAAAACAGGTGTTTGACACAGAAACACAAGAGTACAGAAGTTGGATGCAAGCTGCCTCGCTCTCAGGCTGCAGGGGTCTCTTCAGAACCCTCAAAAAAGATGAAATGCCTTATGCGAGACCCTTTCAAGATTTCCCTCGTACAGAACGGATGCAGCACAGACTCCAACAATGGGGGGGAAATCTGGCAGACGAGAGAGCAGCCACTTGAACCCAAAACGATACAAGCGCTCATCTACAAGGGTCAAGACTATGCACGTGAAACGCTCCAGCCACTGCATGTGCATCAAGTGTGGAAAGTGATCAAACGCCTCAGCCACAAAGCGCCTGGCCTTGATGGAGTTGGCTATGACTTCTTCAAAGAGCTCCCTTATCAAGCCATCCCGGACTTGATACAGTTTTTCCATGAGATAGAGGCCACGGCGAGCATCCCAAATCAATGGACCTCATCCTTGATTGCCATGCTGCCCAAAAACAAGGACATCGAGAGGCCGATTGCATTAGTTGCATCCTTGTACAGGTTATGGTGCAAGGTCAGAGCTCCATACACAAAGCAATGGCAGCAAGAGATCCAAGATGTGTACAAATGGGAACGAGCAGTTCCTGGCACAGAATGCCTCAAAGTTGCGCTGAAACGGGCCTTCATGACCGAGCACCATCATGCCCTCAAGCGCACAGTTGTCTCAGTGCTCATGGACATGTCCAATTTCTATGACAGAATTGACTTGGAGAAGCTCACAGAGCGTTGGCTTGACTCAGACTACCCGGCCACACATGCGGCCCTGGCCATGCAGATTTACTGTGGCAGTCGGATCATTGAAGCTGAAGGAGAAGCATCCAAGATGATATGGACCAGCAATGGCATCTTGGCAGGGGATCCACAAGCACCTTTGGCTGCAAAAATTTACCTCAAAGAAGCCTTGCATGCTTTCTGCAAGCGATTCCCTCAACTACAAGTCGATCTTTGGATAGATGATCTGAGCTTCGACATTGTTGATCGTGATCCAGCAAATGCTGTCAGATTGGCCATTGCAGCGTTTCAGTATATCAAAGGTCTCTTGGAGGCGGACAATTTGAAA